AAAAGCCTCTGCCAGACTGAGCATGAAGAGCTTGGCCAGACCGAGTCACTTAAAGCCTCAGCCAGATTGAGCATAAAAAGCCTCAGCTAGACTGAACATGAAAAGCACGTCCAAATCGAGTTACTTCAAGCCTAGGCCAGATTGAGCCACCATTGCAACTTCATGATCATAAGCATAGTGGCCATAAGCACTCCGCCAGACTGAGTTACTTCAAGCCTCAACCAGGCCGAGCCACCATTGCAACTTCATGATCATAAGCATAGTGGTCATACTTAGTCAAATTCCAGTCCAACGTTTTCCAAATCAGACTGGTTCCTTGCTGGGTTAGGATTCACAAACTTCGCGTCTTTAACACTCTTACAAGTTAAACTTCACTGTACATTGAGTTTTCCTTACAGTCACTCTGCATTGAGGTTGCCTTACATTTTAAACTTCACTTTACATTGAGTTTTCCTTACATTTTGCACTTCACAATGATTTATACACAAGCCTTATACAAGTCACCATTCTCATTCATTTCAGATGCACAAACAAAAGCAATAGCATAAAAACACGACTCAAAATTTTATTTATTCACAAACTTGTACATAAATTTATTACAACCATTCAAAAACAAAATAAATAAATAAATAAAAAATAACCAAAACTCGAAGTACATATTTTCTCCACTCCACTCACTCCTCTTCTTCACTTGAGGCGAGATCTTTCTCTTCAATGCCCTCATCTAAGGGAGTCTGGACCACGTCGTCTTCGTCAATTCTAACATTGCTGAACAGCTCTTCTGTTTTACGCTTGAACATCTTCCAGTCACTGTTCCAGAATTCAGTCATTTCGTGTTTGTAGAAGTCCGACCGCTGGAAGCTCTGGATCACTTCGTCTTCGCTCCTGCTCCCAGCGGTCGTCCCCGACGGACCAGCCCCCCCAGTCCCCTCTCTCACCAAGTTGCTGGCAATAGCAGCATCGATGACCATCTGAAAGTCAGTAGACACCTTAAATTGCTCTACTGCTGCGACGTACAGATTGGGGTATGCTGCCCTTTCAGAGGCTGCCTTGGTTTTTTCTTCCTCTAACTCCTTCTCCAACCTCGCCTTTTCCTTCATTACCCTAGCACGCTCATCTTCTAGCTCCTTCTGCAGCCCAGCAATCTTCAGGTTTGCTTCATCATTTTCTTTGATCTGCTGGGCGCACAGTTCTTCATTTCTGGTCATAGCCTCTTCAAACCACTCGGTGGCGACCATGCAGGCATTTTGAGCATCCCCCAGCTTCTTCTGCTCGCCAGCCAGCTGGAACTCGAGCGACACTACCTTGCGGCGTTCATCCTCTAGCTTCAACTTGACCGCGAGCAGCTCAGCATGGGCTTGAGCGGCAACATTGCGCTGCACGATCGCCAACACCTTCATCTTCTTCGCCTTTTGAGCCTCCCCCAACCCCCTGGCACACGGACTCCGCACAGCCCTCCTCCAACTCACGCTCTCCCTCTTGAAATTTTCAAGTTGGGCCTCCACCTGTCCCAACCTCTTCCTCTCTCTCCTCAATTCGTCCTTCGCCACCGCCGCCTTATTCAACAGGGCTCCTGCTAAGGCAGCCGCCTCTATCTGGGCTGAGCACAACCCCTTCATCAGCTCAGCCTTAGTATAACCAGCCACTGAGTGAATGACTGCGTCTTTCACGACCCCCAAGAGGCGGTCTACAGCCATCCTGGCCTCTCTCCCTTTCCCTTCCACTCGCCCAGACACAGCAGGGATGTGGTAGAAGGCGGTCTTCAACCAAGGCCTCTCTTCCTCTCCTTGGGATTCTAGACCCTCCTGTGGTTATGGCTCTTCCCTTGGCTCTACCCTTGGCTCAGCGCCGACCCCACCACTTTGCATTTGCTCCCCAAGGCCAGTCGCCCCATTCTTTACCTCTTTGGCCGCCCTCTTCAACCCTATTTCAGGGGTCCCCTCTACCTTCCCCGCCAGGGGGGTCTGCTCCGTCGTTGCCCCCTTCCTCCTCTTCAAGGCAGGCTCTTCTTCATTCCTTCTCACTCTCCTCTTCTTCTTCACCACACCCTCCATTTCCTTGTAGGCTCTCTCCTTCAAAGGATCAACTGGGGGCGGTCGTGGCTCAAATCCACCTAAGTCCTTTTCCTCCAAGGGTTTGGAGGCGCGGTCGGATCCTCTCCCTCGTGATCGGCTTCAGCGGTCGGTCTGCCTGGGACTCTTTGAACTTGCTGGCTTTGGCGAGGATGGTCATATCCTCAGCCTCTTGCGCTTTTCTTCTCACCTTTAACTCCGCCGATCCCAGGTCTCCACTGATCGGCTGAGGACCTAACCCTGCCGCAAACAAGGCTGACGGCTGAACAAGCTCGTCCCATCTGGCGCCCTCCTTCTCCCTCTATTCCTTTAGCTTCTTCACTCTCGCCTCTGCTGCTGCCCCCAATTTTGTCTCCACAGACTTGGTGGGAACTTTCCAAACTGTGCGCACTCCAACCCCTCCGTTGGCGGACACATAGAACCACCGCGACTTCCACCCCTTTATCGATGACGGCAACCTTGCCACCAGCCCCTTTCCTGCCGCCGCCTACAAAGTGACCCAAGTCTCTTGCTGCCCCGACGCCTTGTAGCACACAAAAAACTCGTCCATCGTCATTTCAGTCCCCCCGTACGCCTTCAGCCACGCGCTTGCACAGGCCAGCAAGATTTTCCACGCATTGGGCATCAGTTGGCCTGGAGCTACCTCCAACCGATTCAACACGTCCACCACTATCTGGGGTAGGGGCAACCTTAAACCCCCATTTAGCGCCTCATCGTATAGGGCGAATTCCCCTGGTCGAACATCGGATGCCCTCTCCTTTGATTCCGACAGTCTCAACTCTATCTCTGCGGGAATCTGGTACTTCTTCCGCATACCCTCCAGCTCTTTCGCTGTAATGATCGACTTATCGGCCTTTGTATGCTAGTGATCTGGCTCTACCTGGCTGATTGGCGTCGGCGCCGTTATCATTGTGGACGAACGAGGTCGCCCCGACGGCTCCCCCCCACTCACCACTCGTCTCTCTGTCCTGTATTGCTCTGCCAAATCCATCGCATCGTCGTCCCCCAATGGATCAACCCTGGCATTTGCAGCATCTTCTTGGGCCATTTCTGTGGTGTGTCTACGAATAGTTTCGGATGCGGGTGCAAGGAAATTCAAAAAATGTCGCAAAGGTGCATCACTTGCAACGAAAGAGTCTACACTTAGAATGTTTTGATTTTTCAAAAAAAAAGTAGGTAAAACGTATAATACCAAAAGCCCAAGACTTGCCTGTATTTTAGGGGTCACAATTAATTTTCGCTAATTTGAAAAATTTTCAACCACCTGCCAAAACTATCTTTTCAGCACCCATAATGACCTATCGTTTCACTTCTGGCCCAACGCCTAACCTTCCTCACCACGTTGTTCTGCCACGTATACAGCCACGATTCACTGCCCCATTTCCCTACCCTGTCTTTTCCACTTCAAGTCACCACGTGACCCGGTGCCTCTCGAGCCCGGCACCCCGCCACCTTCCCCTTCGCGATCGGCCCTTCTCATGGCCGGTTCCTCCACTCAGGTACCCTTCGCGGTCGACCCTCCTCGTGGTCGGTCCCTCCACTCGGCGACCCTCCTCGGTCGGCCCTCTTCATGGTCGGTTACTCCACTTGGCCACCCTTCGCGGTTGGCCCTCCTCGTGGTCAGTCCCTCCACTCGGCGACCCTCCTCATGGTCAGTCACTCCACTCGACCACCCTTCGTGGTCGGCCCTCCTCGTGGTCGGTCCCTCCACTCACTGACCCTCCGCGGTTGGCCCTCCTCATGGTCGGTCCCTCCATTCGGCCATCCTTCGCGGCCGACCCTTCTCATGGTCGGTCCATCCACTCGATCACTCCTATCGGTCGGCCTCCATCCTGCCGGTCTCTAACAACCCTCATTTTCTTCATTATTCCCTTCGTTGGACTAAAGCTGCACTTGGGAATGGGGGACTATTGACATGGGTAGACCCATAAAGGCTACAGCCCACTATGAACAACCTAAGCCCACCACTTAGGGCCCAATACATAATCCAATTAATGAAGCCCAGCACCGCCGAAGCCCCACATAGTAATAAGAACCAATGGCATCAAGACACATGGCAAGAGAAGGGTAAGCCACATCAGCAGACAAAGATCTGCAAAATTATTGCTACGCCACATCGCCATTAATGAGGCCCCTTACAGCATTTATTGCGGTAACCCCTCTCCGTCGGGACAGCACGCCCTCACCCTGAACAAGGTAAGCTACAGCATAGACTTTCGGCCAAGGTGACAGGTCGGAAGGGACAACGAAATGATTACCAAAGGATATAAGCAGACGTTGAAGACAAGAAGAAGAGTAAGCTTTCTATCTCTAATCTCGCTATATACTCCATTCCCCTTTCTAACTTGCTCGTCGGAGGGTTCGCTGGGGGACTCCCCGTTCTCCGTTGAACTCGTGTGCAGGTCTTCCGATGGTCTTGGTCATTCGGACATAGACGTGAGGAGCGTGGATCAGTCCGACCCGGTTCATTGGAATGAACTGTACCATCAGTGGGCAAAAAGTGTGCTTTTTTTTTTTTAATTGAATTTTCACATTTACCCCTAACTTTAATGCCATCAACAGATAGAGTTAGGTTGGGAACCAAATTGAAATATATTTTTTTTCATACATTCAGGACTAAATTGATTGAATTTAAATATGAGGACAAAATGACACAAATAGCAAAATTTGGAGACTAGAAAAACATAATTAATCCAATTTATTATGTAACTTTACAAACGAAATAAATTAAATACTGATTAAGATTCCCTCTATTACATAACTGAGTACCTCTTACACTTTCAAGGCACAAGACAAGATTGGATGAAACATACATTGCATTCCCAAACCATAAAACAATGAAATGAACCATTTCAGAATTTCTTTATTATTGGAGATCAAGATGAGAATTACAGCTTTCCTGCATCAAATCCTAGGATGCTTGGAACTTCTTGTTGAGACTACAATTGATGAAGAAACAACTTTTTGAAAAGCATGATATGGTTTACAAATCACCATTGCTAAGTGATTAAATAAGGCCATTTCAATTGCTATAAGGTTACAATATGATTTACTTACCATATGCAAAACCTAATTTAGTTGTGCAAAAATTCAACAACAAATGGCTTGTCTTATATAGAACTATCAAACAAGAAACCTAGGAAGCCCTATTTTGTGGCCAAATCTCTTGACATCCTCTTGGACTTGTTGTCTGAATTCTCTAAAGCTAAACCTTCTATAGATTGAAGGCTCAACACAACTCTGCATCAGAGTGTCATAGGATGGACAAAAGAAGTATGCAGTAGAGAATCTCTCCATTTTCTTGTTGGCCACAACCCGGTGTTCAACACTCCTATAAACACCATTGCTCCATACCTGCATCACAAATTTAAGTGACACAAACAATGTTAGAGGACTACATTGCACATAAGTGTGGGAATTTTTACAGCGCATTAAGCTTATTCTGCTCTCGACACAAATGCAAAAGTACCACGACACAAAAATAGGTGAAGTAAACAGCTCAAGTTGGTTTCAAATCAACTTAACTCGAATTTGACAAATAATACTAAATGTTCCATGACATGTTTGAATCCTTTGTGTAACCTCATCTTTTTTTCTCTCTTTTTTTTTTTTTTTTCTGAATAGCACAAAAAAACTTTATTGATGAAAGATTAATTCTTTTGTATAACCTCATCTAACTGAATAAAAAATAAGGTTAATTACATTTTACCCCCTTCAATTATTACTGAATATCACATTACCCCCATCAACTTTACAATTAGATCTTTAGACCCATCAACTATCAAAATTGTTTCACTTTCTCCCTCCATAAGGGGGATTTTGTACGTCTTTTTTATTATTATCATTGTGAGGTCTAAATATATAGTTTTAAAGTTGAAGGGATAGTGTGAGGGAGGTGAAGTGTAATTAACCTTTCATATGATCATGTCATGTCATTTAGATCTATGTTGGATTGGTGTGGTGTTAATATATCATGTTAAAATTTTATCTTTAATTAAAAATACCAAGCATATGAAGACATTAAATTTGTTTTTCAACAAATTGAAATTTAATGAAACTAATTTCTATTGGATTGAATTATAGGTTAATTGCACTTTATTATCCTCAGCTACAACTGAATTTCACCTAACCCCCCAAACAAATTTCTGTCACTCTTTCAAAAGGTAATTGGTATGATTTTTGATAATTAGGAGTACGAATATATGGTTTCAAAGTTGAGAGGATAAAATAATAATTAATCATAGTTGAGAGGGGCAAAGTGTAATTAACCCTCACATGAAAAATAAATAGATAGAATTAGTATTAAGATCGATCCAAATGACATAATACGATGAGATAACAGGACACGAAGACAATCAACATGACACAATTCTCACTAAAACAAGTAATGAGCCAGTTTTAGCAAATAAAAATGAAAATGGGGGAAATGTACCTGAAACAAGTCACCAATGTTAATGATGAGGGCATCAGGATTAGGTTTAACTGCAATCCATTTCCCATCTTTCACTAGCTGCAATCCTCCAATTTGATCTTGATGCAATACAGTGAGGAAGTCACTGTCTGTGTGTGGTATTAATCCAAAGATCTCAGAAGATATTGGACATGGTGGGTATCTGTTCATTCGGAGATAGCAAGTACTGGGCACACAATTTTCTTTGAAAAATGTGGCTTTGTGACCCATTTTCTCTGCCAATATTTCAGCAAGCTTTTGTGCCAAGTCTGAAACTGTTGTGGCAAATTGTTCCATTGTTGAGCTGAATACAAATGTAAGGAAGATTGTAAGAATTTTGCTAATGTATACTTTTACCACACATGCTAGAAATTTAGAAAGATTGTACAACTTGCATAAAAATGTGAGTACTAAAGAATGTATAATATTTTTAAACATCATTATTAACTGTTGCTCTAAAAATGCATGTTGACAAGACCTTAGTTATCCAACTTCAAGAGGTTGGTTTATTTAGTAGTCAAGGAGACTGGAGGTGTGTTCATTCTCCCATGTTTGGATGGGAAAAAGTGTATGGATAAGTTATCTGAGTTGGACTGCAAGAGTGACTATTTGGGAGAGGGTAGGGGTTGGTTTGGTTTGGGATGAAGATATGGGCTATTCCATCATCAATTGGGCTGGAAATAAACAAGGGACACACGAACTAATTGGATAGCCTTATTCAACATGAGGTTTATTAGGCATGCCGCATGTATATATAATTTTGCTAACTACCTTTTTAAGGTACTTTCAGCAGGTTTACAAATTCAAAAAAATAAAAAAAAATAAAAAATACCCAGAATACAAAATGAAAAGCTAAGATTCATTCATGGAATGAGGCTCACACAAGAAAGATTAAATCTACACAATAAATTTACATTTATTAGTCAGTTTCTAAGTTTATTTTCTAGGTTTAGAGAATTTTTCTTAAAAAGTTTTCTTACAAAATAAATTTCAAAAAAAAAAAAAGAAAAGAAAAAGAAATGTAACTTCAATACTGATCTACCTGTACAAGATAATCTATAACATTTTTTTTTTTTTTTGTGAATTAGGAGAAGTGGAGAGAGGGATCTAAAAAATAATGTTACATTTTACAAATCCTTTGATTTTTTTTGGGTAATTACAAATATACCCTTGAAGGTTGCTTAAAACATAAATTACTCATTGTGGTTTAGAAAATTACAAATATCCCATTTTCATATTTTTTTTATTTAACAAAATTAACTGAAAAATAAATTTTTTAACTGCTCTCTTATACAATGATAAAATTACTTGAACTATTAATTGAAATAAATTTCTAATGTCATTAAAAACTATTAATTGACTAATAATTTATTGATAAAAGGGTCATTTGTTATAAAATTAAAAATTTCAAAAAACAAGATGTAATTTTTTAAATCATAGAAAACAAATCGTATTTTAATAAATTTCAGAGATATATTTATAATTTGTCTTTTTCTTTTTTTGAACTGCACCACTTCAAACACTCAAATACATTATTGATAGGCAAAGGTCATATTATTGTACTAAGTGGGGCTGACCTTGATATAAGTGAGATTGTGCTAGATCAGGTTGATTAGCAGAGAGAGAGAGAGAGCATGCATGCATGCAACTTCACGTACATGAAGGTATTGAAAGGGCTATTAAGATTGCAGTGGTTGCAACTTGCAAGTGAAATCTCCCAAGTAATTTGTACATGGAAAAGTATGTTCTTTGGCACAGTCTCACTATAAAAAGAAACCTTTTTTTCAAAAAGAGTAAATGACAGACACAAAACAGCTGTATAATATGACGAAAGTACTGTGTTCACAAGATGCTTCGTCACTTCCTCTCCCCATCTCTCAGTGTGTGTGTCCTCCATCTAACATTGCCATGTGAATCGTGGCCAGACAGTACATCTGTCTTACAGACATATTCACGAATTTGTACTAAAAGAAAGGATTGATAGATAGGATTCTCATCTTCCTAAAACATCTCTAATCCACAATTTTATATGGACATGTTATTGTTAAATTGTAATACTGCTATATTGTCAGTAAAAGAATATTTTGTAGCTCGAATCTTTCTTTCTCGAATCTCCTGACTATTTAAAATGACGTCGTTTTGAACAGTTTCTTTTCTTTTTTTTCCCTTATGTCTGAAACAGAGAGAGCAGAGAGAAGAGAGAAGAAGAGGAAGAGAAAGAGAAAGAGAGAAAGAGAAGAGAGAGGAAGAGCGAATGGAGAGAGAGAGAGAGAGAGGGTCGATTGTCGCTGCCTTTGCCTCCGCCTCCGATCGTCGCAGCCCGGCCTCTGATCTCTGTTCTTCGCCTCCGATTTGTGTATGAGGATGATGTGTTAAAGTTTTTTTTATTTTTTTTATTTCTTTTTTAAGATTTTAAGATTTTTTTTTGTTGATATCTATGGATGATGATGTGTTTGGTTGATGATGACTATTCTCTCTCTCTCTCTGCTGTGTTGATACATTTTTTTTTGTTGATCTCTATGGAGGATGATATGTTTGGTTGATGATAATTATTCTCTCTCTCTCTCCTGTGTTGATGAAGATGTGTTGGGTGGTTGATGAGGATGATTCTCTCTCTCTCTACTACTCTCTTCTTCTCTTCTTTCTTCTTCTTCTTCTTCTTCTTCTTCTTTGTTCTTCTTCTTTTTTGATTTTTCTTCTTCTGCCAGTTATTAGAAAAAAAAAAATAAAAACAAAAACAAAACGACGATTCGATGTTGTTTTAAATTCGGGACAAATTCAAACTCGAAAATTTCAAACTACGTAGTATAACTGTTGTCAAAATTATAACAATCATGCTTTCAATGCACAAATATTATATTTTGGCACAATCATTTTTTTCGCCACATGCCGACACTACCAATGTGGTGCGCTTAGTCTCTCATGAAATTGAGTTTACCCAGCGTCAGACAAAAATGAAAGCTAAAAATATATTTTTGAATTTTAAAAAATATTTTCACTTATAATTTTTCTACTTTTGTTCATACTTTTTCACCTACTTTGTATTTTTGTGAATTCTTTTCTGATTATATATACATTTTTTATGCTTTTGTGGAGTTTTCATATGTATGTTATGTATGAATATATATATATATATATGCATCCATTCAAGTTTGGTGATTTTATTTATTTATTTATTTTTTTCAAGGATCCAAAATGAAAAGTTAATGAGAAAATATATGGTTTTGATGAGTTGGCAGATTTGCCAATTTGCCAAACTGTCAAATCTTGTGCCAATCTGCCAAATTTGGCACATTTGTCAAAATTTAGCAAGTACACTGGTGTTCAATTTCTGCACTAGTTGTATGTATGAATATATATATATATATATATATGCATCCATTCAAGTTTGGTGATTTTATTTATTTATTTATTTTTTACGACAATGCTATGTAGTTCAAATTTTGTGGCTCAAAAGTAGCTCAAATGGTCAAAACGACGTCGTTTTGAGTACAGAACATCATAAAAATGGTCAAAACGACGTCGTTTTGGCCATTTGAACCACTTTTGAGTCACAAAATTTGAGTTACGAGACATTTTCCTTATTTTTTTCAAGGTTCCAAAATGAAAAGTTAATGAGAAAATATATGGTTTTGATGAGTTGGCAGATTTGCCAATTTGCCAAACTGTCAAATCTTGTGCCAATCTGCCAAATTTGGCACATTTGTCAAAATTTAGCAAGTACACTGGTGTTCAATTTCTGCACTAGTTGCTATTAGGATTGAAAATGAGTTCATAAACAAGTTCAGTTCGGTTTGTCAAGTGCTTAGTTCAGAATGATGCGTTTAGTAAATGAGCCGAGTTCAAATTCAAATATTAGGCTCGTTTAGTAAATGAGTCGAGTTCGACCTCACATAAGCTTGGCCCATTTATCTTTATTTAAATTATATAATAAATATATTATTTATATATTAAATAATATTTATATTTATTATATAATTTAAATAATATTAAAAAAAATTTATCGAGCCGAGCCGAGCCGAGTCGAGCCGAACTCGAGTTTCATTAATATTAACGAGTCGAGCTTGAGCCAAGTTCCTTATCGAGCTGAGTTCGAGCTCAACAAACGAGCCGGATAAGTAAATGAGCCGAGCTCGAGCTCAGCAGAGTTCGGCTCGGCTCGGCTCGGCTCGGCTTGATTCGTTTGTAACCCTAGTTGCTATATTATAACTATAGCAACGGTGACAGCTAGGGGGTGAGTATGGTTTGGATTGGTTTGGATTAGGATAAAATTAGGATTAATCCGTTATCTACGGTTCTTAAAAAATTAAAACCAATTTAATCCTTTTAAATTGTGGAATCAATCTGAACCAATTCATTTAAATACAAATTGAATCGGTTTAGGACCACGGATTCACATAATTAAATAATAATAAAAAAATTTAGAACATTTTAATAAAAGCATAAACATAACATCATCTTAGTTCTGCAATAGTAACATATCTTTCTATAATAACGACATACACATACTGTTTTAAAATTTAAACAATTATAAGAAAACTGATTTCACTATAAATATTTAGACCATTACAAATTAAAACTAAAAACTAACAAACAAAAGCAATAAAAGAAGATACTATACGAGTTTAGGTTTGAGTTTATGTTTTATATAGAATAAGATAAGATACTATGCATGAGGGTATATAATATAAGTATAGACTATTTGTATACTGTTCGGATTTGTTCCAATTTGGAACCGTGGGGTTGAATCCGGAGCCAATCTATGGACTATGTATTTTTAATTTTCCAATCTGAAATTGAACCACGAATTCAAAAAATCAATCTAAACCTACTGAATTGGACTAGACCGAATCGAATTACAAATTTCATGAATTCCTGACTCAGCCCTAATTATAACAACTGCATTAGAGCTACTCGTATTTCTTTCTTTATATACAGTAATAACAACTAAACATCGAAAATTGATTTATTTATTTTAAAGTAAATTATATTTATCCACCCCCCCCCACCCCCCCCCCCCAATGTATATATATACTGTTAATTAAAAATAAGGTAGGGGAAAGGGTTGTCGTGGTTCAAACCCCTACCAAATGAACTTGCCCACAATGGCCGAACCAGTGAAACTTTAAAAAATAGAAAAGAAAAGAAGAAAGAAAAAAACAAGATGTATTATAACTATTACACTAAACAGTGAAAAAGAAAATGAAAAAAAATAGTGATGCTTGAAATATTAACAGATATACTAATAAATATACTAACCCATTGGTATTCGTTTTGCATCAATAATTTTTTTTTTATAATATATATATATACTAATTAAGAAAGAAAAACTTGATCATGGGTGGCAACCCTTGATTTGAGATTTACCTAATATTGTGTTACTTGCTATATTTGTTAATATGTTTGTATTGTTTCTAATAATAATAATAACATATTGCATTAGTTGCTCACAATAGTGGGTCTCTTGCTTACAATAATTTTTTTTTTTTTTTTTTTTTTTTTTTTTTTTACACCATGTGAATTGACCTAGGTTGTACTTGAGTGTGATGTATTATATATCATTTTCTTGTGACAAAATCATCCAATTGAGTTCGTTAGCAGTAAGGTCAAAATGGAATCCAATTATTAAAACGAATATTATGGAATGATAATCTCTTTGTGGTTCTATTTAAATGTTCCAATCTAATCTTTTGCCAACCCCTTGACACCTCAGTCATTTGTTAAAGGAAAATATTTGAGATTTTAAAAAATGTTTCACAATTCAACTCATCGATGTGATATGTGTCAGTTTTTAATTGGTTATATATTCAATTATATGAGAATCATCACCCTTATTACATCATTATAGATACATTTATAGATGTAAAATGTGAATCTCTAGCATTATTATTTTCCAAAATGCCGAAACCATCAAATCACCAAGTGGGGTGTGTTTGGATAAACTTTCTACATTGGTGAATGTTAGGTACAAGGTAAAAATAATAGTGGCTATGATAGCACTTGATATCTATCCCCTCATTATCTTAAATTAGCACTAATACTGCTCTTAAATTTGTACAATATATTAAATAACAATATTTGGAATTCAATAAATATCACTCTATAATAATATCATGAACATCAAACAATATATTATGAGAATTAGATGATACAGTTGTGAATTTTTAAAATCATTCTTGATCATAAGAGAACTTGTGAATCAATTATGAACTGGGTCGATACGTATGTAACTTTTATTTGTACTAGTATATCATAATATACGAATATTAATATGTTACACACTATTAAGTATCAGTTAATATTCAAAATAATATACATGTAATAAAGTTATGAATCCCACCAATATGGGAGTGTCTGTGTCGCATTCTATGTTGAGAAATGCACTACACATCACCGAGATTTCTATCAATGTAGATATGAAATGATATAAATGTATAACAATCTTATTTTGTGATTTGTTGATGTTTTAATAACAAAGATGACATAGAAGAGAGTTTTGTGAAGTAGTACCTGAGAGTGGTGAGACCACCCAAGCCACAAATATCGTCCAAAGGAACATGAAATGCTTCAGACCAAGATATCTGCCTCAGGCAAGTCGCCCATGGTGTTCCCCACCGGTAACTACCCGCCGAGAAATTCATATACCCTTCTCTTATCTTCTCCCTAAAAGGCCTCTTGAACACCTTCACTTGCTCACATCTCATTCTCTCCAAAATCTCTGTAGAAATCCCATGGTTCACAACTTGGAAGAACCCCCATTCTTGTGAAGCTTTAGCTATCTCTCTCTTGCACTCTTCTCTCTCTGATTCTCCGAGCTCTAACCGGCTCAAATCAATCACCGGTAATTCACATTCTTTGACGATGATGAGCTCGTTGGCGTGGTTTGATTCTGCTTCGGTGTAGTTGAGGAAGAGGGTTTTGTAAGCCTCTTGAAATGGTGGCTCTGATGAGTCCATGCTTGAAGACTGAAGAAAGTGGATTTAGGAAGACATTAATACGAAGAAGAGTTCGATGTGGTTAAATCAAGTTTGTTTTTCTAGGAAAACATGGTCCAGGTTCGGCATAAATGATAATAAGCTCTTAGTTTTAGACAACACAACTATGGAGAGACAAACTATGGATATAGGGTGGGAGGAAAGGTTAAAAACGTAAATAAATAATGTTATACAAATAGTAAAATTTATTGATCAATACGAAAATTACTCTTCATTTCTCATTTATAGTAAAGTTCCGTAAAAATATTTCAAAATTTTAACAAAATGTTACTGTTATATTGTTTATTTGATCATATTTGTATAAATTAAAATAAAATAAAAAATAATTTGTTTTCAAAAACATAATGATTGTTAATTTTTTTTAGACAAACTCAATAAAATAAAAGGGTTACAAATATGGGATCGATTTAATTTTTTGTGTAATTGATATCGATAAAATAAAATTTAGATTGGCAAAACGAGATCTACACTAATCTCATGAATCCGGATAGCATCCCCAATCCAGACGTGGACAGGAAGGTATAAATATTTTGTACAAAAAAATTGGGGGGTTATTGACAAACAGAAGAGAATGAAAAACCATGTTTTGTAATGTTTCTTGCTCTTTGTTGTCGATGATAATGGTATAGTGTGTCTCCTTTCCAACGTTTAGTTTAGACTATAGAGACAAAGGTTGTTCCATGTCTTTTAGAGAGAGAGAAAGAGGAGAGATAGTATTGGGCTATAGGCCCGTGATAGTCAATGGACCCGTTCAAAAAGGGCCCAAGACAATGCAAAAAGCTAGCTTTAAGTAGGGCCCACAATCAATCAACGAATTATTTAATAAATAAACAAAAATAAAAAATGAAAAAAGAACAAAGAAAAAAGAAAAGTTTTCAAGCGTGATTTACACAAGTATCATGATCAATTGATTCGGTTTAAAAGGGGTGCTATGAATTAATTTAGTTGGAATTGTGGAGTTTGACTATGATATATATATTTTTTCATTGATGTATACTCTTGTTTGTATGAGTTTCTTTTTCATTAATAAATTTTTTTCGCTGTTAAAAAAAAAAAATTTTGAATTAACTATGTCAAATTATAAACTTGTAGTCAAAGAACTCATTCTTAATAAAAATAAATAAATAAATTTACAGCTTAAAATGTTACAATAATAAAATGTGTGCAGAAAAAATGTGAAAAAAATAATGAAAGTATTGATGTGTGACAGTGCGAACCATACATTGGATGAAATGTGACCACATAATGACTTTTGAGTGTATATTCTGATATTCATTTATTTAGTTTACAAGTTATTAAAAAATTGTATCGTCATAATTTGTTTTTTTAAATTTTGTGGGCACTAGCTTTTCAATTTTCAATAAAAAGCTATCATGATTAACCCACGTATAGCCCCACGTATATAAATAGAGTTGGGTAATTTACTTCTCTTCAGATTGTTAGCATAATTATAAGGATAAGGATGTTTTTCGGTCTAACATTGGCGTTGTACAGGGCGTTTGATTTATTACGAATCTCATTTTAATAATTTAAATTGTTTATTTTGTTAAGTATCTCGTATATTTTATTTATGTAAAAAATTAGGTCAATCTAATAATCTTAATTTATTTAATTTAATATGTTTTTCACTAAAAATAATTATGATTTATTTTAAAATATACAATTGTTGTCCATCTTTTAAATAAAAAATATAATAAATTAAATATATTATAATTATCAAACCAATTTAATATTTTACATAAATAAAATATACAAAATACCTACTAAAATAAATAATTAAAATAATTAAAATAAGAATCATGATAAACCCAACGTCCTCAAATAACACCCTCTAATATTGGACAGCAGGGATCTGCCTCCTAATTATAATAATAACTTCCCCGCACTAATGACAAAGTTGACATAACTAACAATCAATGTGAAATTACTTGTTTACCCTATTCTAATATATTACTTTTTACCCTTATCTTCCCAGATTAACCTTCATGTAGAATTTTTTTATTTTTATTATTGTTTTTTTAAAATTTACTCATTTCATTCGTAGTATCAGCAATGCCACCACTCCTGTAGGGAAGCTGAGTCTATGAAAAAGAGATAATATTTCAAGTCAATTACTAATAAAAATGTTAGAAATTAGAGTTTGTTTTTGGGAGAGTTGTTTATGAAAAAAATTTGGGAGAATTGTTTTATAAATTTTTTTGGTTTGTTTGGATATATATTTTGAAAGTTATTTTGGAGTTTGGGAGTTTGGAATGATTTGATATTTTGTTGTAATTGAGTAGATGTGTGTGAGAGAAAAAGTGATTGAGAAGGAGAGAGGAGAGAGAAAAAGTGATTGATTGATGTATAAGAGAGAGAAAGTGATTTTGATTTTTTTTTGAGAAAAATCTCAAACCAAACAATTTTTTGGAAATTTTTTTCTAAAACTCATCTCTAAAACTCAAACCAAACATACCCTTAATATTTTATTAAAAGTTTTATCAAATATCTCATATGAGAGTAAGATCTACATGGGACCCACATTATATGAGTCTCACACCTATGTAAGACATTTGATAAAAATTTTGATAAAATTTTTGGTATCTCTAACATTATTCCAATTACTAATTACTTAGTTCTCATGTTGTTCCTCTATCCTTAATATAAATCGTGAGTCCTTATCCCTCTCTACCAATCAAAACCTTATAGAACATCATGAATCTATATTCTGAAAATACTGAATAATCACTCCACATCCACAGCGGTACAGCATTGCAATGCCAGTGTGCCACCACACACCTCATTTTTTTCTCTTTTTTCCTCTCTTCTACCAAAACTCGCACAAATTATTTAGCACAACTAAAATTAGTACAAAATAGAGCAAAACCAACGCACAAAGGAAGACATTTCGAAAGAAAAACATAGCAAAATCAAAGAAAAACAAAGCAAATCATAACGTATACATGTCAGTAAAACCTATACAAAAGCAAAGACAAAAAACATTAGAAAAATTCACACATAATCACTGTTCACACAAAATCATTGAAAAGCGTCATAGTAGTCCTAATTGTTCTTGATTTTGCTCTGGCCTAGTTGGTATCTCGTCACTGGAATGAATTCCCTCTCTTCTCTTTCATTGTTGCCGCACTCGTTTCGATATATATATATATTTTTGTTTTTGCCTTGGTTTTGCACATGGTTAACTGCTTAGATGGTACCAACACAACTGAGATGATTTCAAAGCAGTGATGCAGGTTCTTGGACCTCAGCCTTTTTATACACTATCATGTCTATCACTATTATCCATTGATAAAACTCTCTTTTTTGTCGACAAAATAAAGGAAAAGACAACTCATTGATCTGGACCCCTTCCTGCTACTATGGCACCAACATCTTTCAAGTGGTATGTTGTCAAAAGATTATGATTTTGAATAAAAAGATGAGTTTCTTCTTGTTTTTACAAGAGCAATATGTTTTGGCATGAGACAATTGACAAGGGTCTACAAACTTGAAGCAAAAATCCACCTTGTAACAATGAAACTAAGGACCAAGGAAAAAGGAATCAGCTCACGTTGGTTGCTAGGTGTTTCCCAAACCTACAACTAATTTTTAGTTCTTGTGCTTCCCCCACACTACAAGAAATGTTATTTTTGGCCACAAACAAATTCATTGCAAAAAAATAAAAAATTTGTCTCTAAATTTCTTCTTTGTCCTTAACTCAATTGGCACAAGCCTGTCATAAAAAGTAAAACGCGATGACATTTTCACCATAAGTTATAGGAAGTTATATATCAATGATGTTTTTCACCTCTTAATAGAAAGATCTATACAATAAATGTTATGTACGTATAAGAGGATCACTGTATCCCTAAACTATATCAATCACATACTAATAACTCATGTTTCTCCCATCAAGTTTTGCTTAAAATTAATTTATAAACTGTATTTTTTTTTTTTGAACAATTTATAAACTGTATTTAGATCTAAAATTTATACGGGAAAAATAAAAGTAAAGAAAAAATGAATAAATATAAGTAAAAAATTTCACCATTAAAAACAATTCACCATTAATTAATTACTTTTATCTAGAATTTTACCCATTCACTCTATACATGGAGACTCACAATCCACCAATTAAAAATTTATTCCCAAACATATTAACTTTTATTCATTTCATAAAAATTAATTTTTTTTTTTTAAAAAATATACTAAAAAAACCAGAATCCATACCACATCTAAAATATCAAGCACCTTTCTCCCTTCCTAAATCTAAAACCCAAATTTGCCTCTTTGGATATGGAGTTTTTTTGGGGGGAGCTCAACAATAGTAGCAACGAGGTAATAAAATATACTTATACACAACTTTTAATCCCAAGAAAAATCATGAACAAAAATACTCTTTTTTTTTTCCTTTTACCTGGCTTTGATGCACTGGAATTTTATCAATCTTCACCATTGCTTGGTTCGATGGGCACCAGTTCTCCACCATTGTTGAGAAAATAACAAGAAAACCTAAGCTAGTGAGTTTTGCAACTAATAACTATAGGATCATCCCAACATCACTTTTAAATATAACAATAATAAAGCTTAAAAGATAACTACAAGAATGAAAATAATTAAAATTACTTGCATGGCAATGCACGAACACGTCTACGTTGACATCTACTTGTATTTTTCGAAACTGGTAATAAAGAAATTGATTATCACATATTTTCAGATTTTTTTGACTTTTTAGGATGGATTGAAGATATATATGTTATTCATGTCTCAGTCCAATATGACAGGTAAATTATAATATTTTTTTGATATTTTATGTAAAGGCATACAAAAAAAGTAAAGAGAACAATTAATAACTTGAGGTTTGGAAAAATATAAGTAAGCCCGCAATTTTAGCATTGATATGCTGACTTTCCTTTTTGTTAGGGGTGATGTTTGGGTAGACTCAACCTAAGTAATCCGAACTTAGTCCGAAATATTTTAAGGCATGGACAACATATTTTTAAATTCAATGCAAGTTTGGGAAGAAATTCTATAAAGGCTGAATTAAATTTGGTCTTGCTTAAACAGAGGCACCAAACAACTCGGAATCCAAATTATATATATATAAATATATATATATATATATATATTAAATATACATATAAATTATTAATCATTAAAATTTTTCAAATAATTTGGATCGTTAGATCATACTTACTATATATATATATATATTATATACGTACATAAAAGTACAAATTTATATTTTTCGTTTCTCACTCAAAAATCATATAGGCGTGGCACACAGATCATTCAATTCTTATCTCCACCTCTCCTTCTCATACTATACAAATTATTTATTTTGATGCTATTATTAATGACTTTACCCCAAAAAAATATATATTAATAGAGTTTAATTCTAAATTAATCAACATAAAAAAATAAAAACTCAAATTTATTTGCAATTCAAGCAATTTAGACTTAATTCGGATCGGGCTTGAGCAGACAATCTTAAATTACGACTTATGCTTGAGCGAGTCTAGACAACTCGCAACACAACTTGGGCTGCATTTGGTCCTATAATACTGCCGTTTTTGGTCGATTTTTAACAACGATAAGTTACCTTTTACGATAGTTGTACCTTTTTCAACACGAGTATAAACGGCGGTCCTAAAATACCGCCGTTAAAGACTTTAACAGCGGTTTTACATCCTTTAACGACGGCAAAAAATCGCCGCTAAAGCCCAATTTTGGCGTAGTGTAGTAAGATTAAAATAATCGAAACTAATGCAAATAATGTAAACTCATATATATATATCTAATATAAAATAAAGGAAAAATTATGCAAATAATCCTTGTACTTTACACGATGTGTTAATTTGGTCATTATAGTTTCAATTTACTCGATTTTATCCATTAATTTAACGGATTGTATCATTTTAGTCCAATAAATAACGGTTGTTAAGTTAATTTAACAGAAAGTGAAACAATGTATCAATTCGGTCCCTGTATTTTTCACAATATGTCAATTTAGTCCCTGTCAAATTCGAAAAAATTGATACTACAAGGACCAAATTGACACATTGTATATAGCAGAGGGAACAATTTAACACATTGTTTGACATTCCGTTAAATTAACTTAACAACCGTTATTTATTGGACTAAAATGACACAATCTATTAACTTAAGGGGCAAAATCGAGCAAATTGAAATTACAGGGATCAAATTGACACATTGTGTAAACCACAGGGACTATTTGCATAATTCACCCTAAAATAAATAATAATATTATTTTTAGATTAATATAATTAACGATCAATTTCTCTAATAAAATTTGGAAAAAATTATGCAAATAGTCCCTATAGTTTACACGATGTGTCAATTTGGTTCATATAGTTTCAATTTGCTCGACTTTGCCCCTTAATTTAACGGATTGTGTCATTTTAGTAAAATAAATAACGGTTGTTAAGTTAATTTAACGAAAAGTTAAACAATGTGTCAATTTGGTCCCTATATTTTTCATAATGTGTCAATTTAGTCCTTGTCAAAATCGAGAAAATTGAAACTATAAGGACCAAATTGATAAATCGTGTAAAGTATAGGGATTAAATTGACATATTGTTTGACCTTTCGTTAAATTAACTTAACAACCGTTACTTATTGGACTAAAATGACACAATTTGTTAAATAGAGAGACAAAATCGAACAAATTGAAACTACATAGACCAAATTGACACATCATGTAAACTACAGGGACTATTTGCATAATTTACCCTAAAATTTGTTGTCTGTATACACATAAGAGATCAAATATTACAATAATTGTACATACAATAACAATCTTACTAAAAATATAATACATCAAACGTGATTAGTTATTAAAAAAATAATAATATTTAAATACTCAATAATATTTAAAAAATATATTTTTAGTAAAATTTTAAATACACGTTGCATTACTCCAACTATTAACCAACGCTAGGGCATTACCCCCCAAAAAAGATATAACGAATCTTAAAAATTTTAGAATTTTGTCAATTGATTTTTGAAAGTGTAAAGCGTGACTTCCTCCTTCTGCATTGCGCATACTCCTTCAATCCAAACAAATCCTTGTAAGATCTTCTCAGCTTTCGCCTGAAATAGAAGTAAAACTCTAGTTGATGGTACTGGAATTAGCACTCCGACAAGCAAGTTAGCTTCTATGGAAATATTATTTTATTTTTTATTTTTTGGTTTCTTAAGGTACAAGTTTTTAGAACGTACATATTCCTTCAGCCTCCTTTTTCCTTTTATAGAGTCATTTTCCTTAATATTTTCTCCATGTAGCTTAGCCTTTCATCATTACTTTATCCAAGTCCATCTCCTTATTATACTTTTTAGAAAGGGACAACCCGGTCGCACTTAATAGGACCATGCCAACTTACTTAACATACTTGGCTCCAACGTACATCACAAGTACCATTAACTTGACGTTCTCTTCATTTTGTTTTTTGTGTCTATTCGACAATGACTTTTAGTCCAATGGGTTTTGGCTTGGCCTATCTCGAATGGGTTTGGATGGACTCTGTTTGCCGTTTTAGATATATCTAATTTCGGCTTCCATAATTGCCCCTTGAGTACTGGGTTAACTCATATGCCAAGTCGGCTGCATGCTCGGCTCTTGTTGGGCCGACTTCATACAGATTTTGAAACTAATTATACCTCATGCCTAGAAATTCGGGCGTGTGATGGACATGCGATAGCTAACATGATGGGTGGGACCCAATGGGAACTATGTAAAGCTTTCCGCTCTTTCACTCTATTATAAAAATCCACCACCTCTTTCTCTTCCTCTTCACTTCTTAAAAGACTTCATTCCTCCACCTTTTTTGTTTCTGCCACTTGATTGCAACTGTAGCAACCCTCATTTGTTCAGATACTCCTCGTTTTGATCTTGTAAGTCTTCTGAACCCCCATTTTCATTTTACTTATGCTTTTATTGAATTTTTAACATTGCTCCACAGCCAGTCCACAATTTTGCCTCAAGTTTGTCCATCCTTAAACATCTCCATGGAAAACTACCTGAAAGCCTTGCTCTTTAAGACCAAGGTAGCCGCTTTTCACCGCCATTATTCTATTCTCGACGATGTTCGAATAGAGCTTGTCGCAGACATGGTGGTGGACATGGAGAGAACGGACACTAGTACCATAGCGTTTTTGTTGTTAGTTATTGCCGAAGGCGGAGTACGATTTTCCCTTCACCCTTTTCTGCAAACTGTTCTTCATTATTGAGGGTTGATTCCCTCACAATTGAATGTAAACTTTTACCAAATAATCATGGCCATCGTAGCACTCAATCGTCGATTACGAATTAATCTGGGCATCCTTATTATTCAGCACTGCTATGTAATTGCCAAATCATTTGGTCGGTTACGACGATTATTTTTAGGGCCAAGGACACAGATCACCAACTAGTGACCATGCTTGCCAACTCAGGAAAGAGGGTGGATGATGTTATGGTCCTAATCAGTGGAAATTGGGAATTCGACACAGAGGAAGACCGTTCAAACCCAATTCCTAGGCAAAAAGGGGGAACCAGGTAGCCGAGTAATTCATAAGTCATTTTTAATTTTATTCGGCACTTAATGTATTAACAACTTTCTTTCTTGTAGGTAATGATCTCAAAAAGGCGATCACTTTAGAGGATGAAACCGTTCTGGCCCAAGTTAAAACTACTCTGGAGTACACCGGCCCAGAGAATCTCGAAGGGCAAGGTCGTGCTGTCCATATTCTTCTGAGATACGATCCATCTTACTCCACTTTTGCTGCTGCCAATCATATTCCTATTCCTGAAGGAGAACAACAGTTTACTGTTTTGGTTTTCAAAAGTTACGTTAACTTGAGGGACGTAGGAATCGTTGAAGTAGCGGATAGTGAGAGTAGCGAAGAGAGCACTGACGCAACCAATTTCGGTACTGAATGAGTAGATTAAGGTGCCGATAACAAAGACGCCAAGCAAGCACAACAGGAAAACAATTCGGCTATCGAGATTGTCGAAAGTGAAGAATCCAACCAACAGAATCTGGAATGAGTGTCGTCTGGCAGGTGGGTCTCTTTCGCTTGCCTAATTTGCCAAGAGGAGAAATGCCAAAAGGATGGTGGAGAAAAGGAAAATGGACACCACAGGAGGTAGCCAAGAAATCGCCCCGCCAACGATGACCCATTCGAAAGAGATCACTACTCACTTCGTCCCTACGGAATTGGCATAACCAATTCTCAAACCTACGACCAAAGAAACGATAGCCGAGAAAAGAGATGAGAAGTGCCCTGCCGAGTCCACTCAGATGGTTTTCTATTCAGCCAAAGATAAAGGGATCGCACGTCTCACCAGGTGCTTCGACAGTGAAAGAGCCTGGCGTTGCACTGAGTATGGCTACTGCCATTATTCTTCCTTTGGACAAGGCAACGTTTTGTGCTGAGCCAAACGTTGTTTCAATTACCATAGCTAAACAATTGGCTATTATGGTGAGTTAATTTTAACAAATGTATAATTCGGTAAAA